CTAGTAAAGATACCCCAATTCTGAGTTTTTCTTTGTTTTTTGTTTGTTATTTTTATTCAATCTATTTCTTTAATAAAAACAAAATCCATATGAAGTTCAAAATGCCATAAAGGGCACAGAGTGAAGAAAACATCATCAATTTGCTCCTTTGTCACTACTTTTAAAATCTCTCTACACCATAATAACAGAGTTGTTTCAGCTGCAGAGTCTCCTGTGTTGTTTTACTGCAGTCAGCTGCAAAATAGTATTTTTAAGCTTATTAACCAGGATCAGTTGCAATTAATTAAATTATACTTTGCTAATAGCAAGCTATATTTTGTATTGCACTCAATGGACCTGTTGAGAAAACACAAAGATACTGTACAGATTACAGTTTGTGTATTTTTTACATCAGAAAAGGCTGAACGTTTTGTACAGGATTCAGTTGCTATATGAAAGAAAAAATATGATGTATCATTTGTTACTCAGTTAAACTGAGTTTGTAGAATTTCAGCACGGTTTGGTAACTTATCTGTATAGGTCAGGAGTCGCTCAGATCTCCTGCCTATGAGGAAAAACTAAATATTCAGTGAATAAAAATAATTTGGAACCCCTCACAGGCTCACACAGACTTCACTGTGCTCCTCTCACAAAAGCAGGTGTGTTGGTACAAACACTCATGTGCCCCTTGGCTTCAAACCTGCACACAAACACCCCGGGAGCAATGGGCTGATTGATTCTTGTTGCTGTTGATGGTAATAATAGTGCACTGTTCTGTAAATTGAATGTGATCCTGCAGGCTTTTGGAGGAGCAGTCTGAGAATAGTATTAGCAGTAAATTATAAGTATTTCTGAGAGGTTTATTTTTGTGGAGAGATGCTCAAACATGTATCAGCAATCACAGCAGTAAACAAACCTGAACCTGTTGAGAACTCTTAACTGTGAAGTGATGTGGAGGTGCTGTGTTTTTTTACAACCTGGAGTAAAATCTAACCACACCGACACGTGCGATTCAGCAAGAGGGCAACATTTTCTGACACTCTGAAGCTGAAGGCCACATTGGTTTTCATGCAAAATGTTTTTAGGGCAGTCAGACTTGAATATCACTAGACTGAGCCCTGCCTATATGGAGCAGTATGAGAGACAAAATTAAGACTACTGCACAACCAAGCTCCGAAGCTCTGGAATGAGCTACCCCTACACATCAGGCAGGCCTCATCGTTGCCTGTTTTTAAAAACAAATCTTAAAGCTTATTTCTATTCATTGGCTTTTAACTCAGCTTGGGACCTTGGTCTGTTTCAGACATTTTGGCTGTTTTTTTTTTTTTTTGCTTGTTTTTATTGTTTTTTAGTATCAGAATCAGAATCATGAGCGTTTATTGTCATTCACACACAACATCAAGATGCAGTGNATCAGAATCATGAGCGTTTATTGTCATTCACACACAACATCAAGATGCAGTGCAGAATGAAATTGCAGTTTAGAACATCCGTCCGGAGAAACACACACACATGATAAACATGGGGGGACGAATGTCCAGGGTCCTTCGCAACCCATTGCGCTACCTTTTGCAGCTTAGAATACACACACAATATGAAGGGTGAAGTAAAAAAAAACAGCTTTGGTCTTGTGTTTTAAACAGAAACACACAAACATGCGCTAAAAAAACCTACTCTGCTTGAGTTAAACAACCCGCGCGAGAGCAAGTCATCTGGGGGTGGGGGTGGCGCCTTAGGTAAAATGGGGTGGGTTTAGAGGAGTAGTTGACTTTGGGGGGGTGTGGGGGGTAACGTGCTAGGCCCAACCCTGGGCCCATCCAGAGTCCAGAGTCACATGATGTTATTGTCTCTACTCAGTTCGCTAGAGTTCAGAGATTTTCCTCCCCCTCAGCCAGTTGAGTTCCAAGGCTGGGTCCAACACATGTGATGGGGGAGGGAGTGAATCTAGCTCTCAGTTGACATTCCATCCTGGGGAGGTTAAGAGAAGCACTGCCGTCAAGGCTGTGTTGCTGGGAGCCAGATAGATAAACCAATTATTTTGGAACAAAGCAGCATTGAAATTCCTGCTGCTTTTGAAAGTATCTTAACTGCAACTCTGAAGTGGCGAAAAAAAGCCAATCAGCTGAATTTGGGGTCTTCCTTGCCTCTCACCTTCTGAAGCTCACCCAGATGTAGTCCAGACATGCCGAAGGGTCGCTCCTGAGCAGCGTTCCTTGTCAGAATCACATCCAGTTTGTGATTTTTTCCCACAGCTGAGAGTCTGTGTGCTACCAACCTGGCAGAATCCTTCAAGTGCGCCCGACAGCTCTTCAAAGGCCCGATCCACTGTCAGGGTCGCTTCACTTTTCGATGAATCTGGAACCCTCCTCTGCTGATCAGCAGGAATCCAGTTATATAATGCAAATAAATAAAGATCTTCCATGTCTTCAATGGAAAGTGGTGCTGGCACATCAGATTCCAGCCCCAGGAATCAGACAAGTCCAGCAGCAACCATTCCACCCAGACAGCCATGTTCCCCTTGTTCCAAGTGTGGAAAAAAATAGTGTAAATTGCATTCAGAGACCAAATCCATAATTCATTTATTTTCGGATGGAAGGTGAAAAAAAAGCTTGAAGAAGCAAAAGCAGCGAAGTAGGGAAGCGGGGGGGGGGGGGGGGGGGCCCCCCCCCCCTGGCACCAAAGGGAAAAAAAGTGTTTTTAGTGTTGATTTGTTTTATTGTTTTTGGCTACGTACAGCACTTTGCGTCAGCGGCTGCTGTTTTACAGCGCTTTATAAATAAAGTTGATTTGATCTGAACCAGAAGTTGCTTGATCCTTGTAGCAGGAGGCTAGTATATAAGCCAGCTATTGATCTGATAATTTTGTAACTGAGAGGCCAGTACTGGCAAATGAGGAGACTATTAATTTGTGTTAGCATCAGAGGTTAGCGACTAGCATGAATAAGCTGACATTAACATCAGAGATTATTAGAAAAATGT